CTTTTACCTAACAGTATTGGTAGGTTAATTTGGGTAGAGTCTGGAAGGTATGTGCTAGGTTTACATAATTTTTTTGTTTTTTTTGCTAAAAAATAAATATTCCATTTAAAAAATGAAAACGTTTTAGGTTTACAAGTCGAAACATACAAACCTATATAATGGTTCCATGTCAAAAAAAAAAAAATTAAAACATTGAAACATAATTAATTGCGATTTTCAGTCTCTCGACTCGACAAAATCGCAAAGCTAATGGAGTAACGAAGTGATTACGATATTATTGTTCTTTCCAAATTCGATGCTCGAGACAAACTTGCAAAAGCAAGATGCCAAGCTTGAAATATCTAGACTCTTAACATTAGAAGCCTTTCACTGGAGATCCTAACTTGCGTCGTCAACGGCAAAGTCATCGTAGTCCTCGATCACATACACCATTTACGTACTGTGAGAGCGGCTCGAAGAACAATTCCATGAGCTAACACAAAAAGAAACCTCGCGAACCAATATATGTGAACAGTACAAGCTCACTCTACCAAGTTCTTCCCGAAGTCACCTAGCACAAAGCTGGATAAAACTAAAACAAAACTACACCAAATACAATTAGTCTTACTAGCTCCTGTAATGCATAAGACCAAAGCACACAAAGCCAAACACCCTGAATCACAAAACCTCATCTTCAAAGCACCATCATCGTCAAGCAACATCAGGGCCTGGCCTGACCAATCATCAAGACTAGAAGTACCTGCAATCCAGACCCGTAGAGAGCAAAGAAGCCACCACCGGAGGCCAATACCAACTCTATTGCTGATTCGCCGTAAGAAATAGAAAGCAAAATTTGGCTCCAAAGAGGCGAGTCCTCACACCCAAAACACCCGAAACGCCACAATGACTACTCTCTCTAAGAAAACTAGCTGCTGTCTTCAAGCAGTTTAATGAAGAGAGAAGAAATCATTTCATCGAATCTAAATGCCTAATCGAGAACCAAACAAACACTGACCAGAATCATTGCCCTGTTAACCAAACCGTAGGAGAAAATGACAAAGGGATTGAGGTTCCAGCAACCAAAGGAAATGTGATTTACATAATTTTGTTTTTCCACTATAATTGTTTCTTCTTATCGACTTTTGGTATAAGTGTATCGAGTCTGATTATGTTTCAAATAAACTGATTATGACTGTCTATAAAATTAAAAATTATACCTTCGTTGTCC